AGCCTGAAAAGCTGTTGTTTGAAAGGTCTAGAGCAATGAGTTTTGATGCATTAGAGATTGAAGCAGGGAAGAGGCCACTGAGATTATTTATTCCCAAATAAATTTCATTGAGATTTGGTGTCCCTTGGCCTACATTTAATGGGAGACTCCCTGAAAGCTGACAATCCACAATGGTCAAGATTTGGAGGGATGAAATGTTGAAAATGCTTGCTGGAATTGAGCCACTCAGCATTATTTTGATACAACCCGAATATTTGGAGCTTTTGAAGATATCCAATCTCCATTGGTATTTCACCTGTTAAATTAGGAAACTCAATAACACACAAGTGACTGAATTTAATTGAAGTGGCAGTGAGGAAAAGGGACAAAAATTAAAATTAACCGAACATCCAAAATGCATGTGGAGAAATAGAAAGACATCTCTTGAAACTAAATAGCACGCGAAATTGATGAATCCCATTTTAGATGCTTCGAGGGGAAATATATGCTTGAAAAGCACTTGCATGTCTTGCTAGATGAACATAAGAAAATAATACCTTTCAAGTAGGTAACTCCAAGCTGTAGTGCTGTCAGCATAGTTAAGTTCCCGATCTCTGTTGGTATGGTTCCAGTGAAATCATTTTGAGACAATGATAATATTTGAAGTTTTGAGCAGTTCTGCAAATTTGGAGGAATCAAGCCATCAAACCGATTGCTTGAAAGTGCAAGTGCCTCTAAATCTGGAAGATTGTCACATATATTTCCAGGAAGTTTCCCATAAAGGTTGTTCTTTGTTAAACCAATCTGTTTAAGTGATGACTGGTTAAACATAGTTGGTGGTATAGAGCCTATAAGCTTATTATCTTGCAGGTCTATGGAAGTCAGGCAACAAAGTCTACTGATTTCTTGAGGAATTTCTCCACCAAGAAAATTCCCTCGTAGTCTTAAATACTTTAGTTTTGTTATATTAAAAAGGGATGGAGGGATATTACCCGAAAATTGGTTAAACGAAAGGTACAAGGAATGGAGGTTTGGTAACAGACCGAAAAATGATGGGATTGCACCAGTAAAGTTGTTATTCATGACATTGATCATTTTCAATCTCCTCAAACGAGCTAACTCCTCAGGCAAACTCCCATAGAAGCTATTGTTTCTGATATCGAGGGAAATGAGAAATGAGAGATTTCCAAGCTGTGGTGGAACCATTCCTTTAAGGTTCATACTAGAAAGATTTAAGGCAGTGACTCTTTGGTGGCGAGAGCCACAAGTAACTCCAATCCAACTACAAGTAGGGGTGAAAATGGACCAGTTTCTTGCTAAGAGGTGATGAGAATTATATAAAGAAAATTGAGATCGCAAGGTAAGAAGTGCTGTTTGATCAGTAGTGATATTGGCAATCGACAAACAAGTACTCATTTGCTGAAGCAGCAAAAGCACAACAGCAAGATGAATACAGCCTTTCTCCATTACACTTTGGAAGACACTCTTCACAAATATGTGTTTTGAAGTCATGGCTCATTGGATATTCATGCTTTCTAGGAGTAAGTTATAGAAACTTAATGTAATGATCTGGCCTTATTTTGGCCTTGTTCTAAGAGGCCTTGGTGACCAATTTAAGACCATAAGAATTGAGAGTTGCTGGCCAAATTATAGCCAAGCAACTCCAATTCCTCTCGCTATAAATTGAGCTGATTCTAGCTCATTCCAAACACACCAATAAGATTTGAGTCTTTATTTCTTTTCTTCCTCTCCTCCCTTATTGAGAGTTGTTTGTAAGAGAGTTGAGTGTTGGAAAACACTTGTGTGATCTCCTTTTTTTTTGAGTGATCTTATGAAGTTATTCTCTCGGGAGGATTTGGGATTAATTAGAGTATTTACTCTAATTTTGTACACTCTTTTGTACTCATGTTGCTATAGTGAAATTGCTCTTCTCCGCTTGTGGACGTAGGTCACACTCACCGAACCACGTTAAATTAGTGCCTTCTTTATATGCTTTAATTGATGTTGTTATTGTTGCGGAAGCCAAATGTATATAGTGTGAATGAGTCACAACTACTATACCAAAAATTATGACAACCACTAAATAATAAACAAGACAATAAGACAACAATAAAAGAACACCAGGATTTACGAGGTTCGGCCAATTTTGCCTACTTCCTCGGACACAATCAATATTTTATTCCACTCCAAAATTACAAGTGAAATAATACCAAAGAGAGAAGATACAAATGCCTTAAGAAGATAAAAAAAGGCAAATGAGAGGTGTTTTTAAAATCCTAAACATTAGGCTTCTTTTTATAGGGTGAAATTCCCATTCAAAATTGTCATCCACCGATGTGGGACTTTTGATAATTTCAACAAATCTCCACCTTGGCAAAATTCCACATCTTCAATTTTCTCTCAATAA